CCCCAAAACCCCAAAACCCCAAAACCCCAACGTTGAGAAAGAATATTGAAATTTGATTAAAAATGCTTCATATTTTTATTTATTTTTTCCATTTTATATTCCAGAGCTTCTACAGCAACAGTAAGCTTTCCAACTAGGATTTCTTTTTCTTTCTTTGATTCTTCATTACTTAGAGCAATGTCATTTTCTATGCTTTTTGCGACTTTATCATATTCTTCAACCACTGTGTTCATTTGAGCTTCAAACAATCTACAAATCTCTTCAGGAGATTTTTCATGCTTACTCACATCGTAAATATGGGGATTATATTTGATTCCTCTTGAAGCATAATATTCAGTAAGCAAGAACTCCTTGTCAGCTTTAAGCATTTTTACAAGAGCTCTTGTGGATCTCTCGGCATGCTTGTCATGCTCCACAAAGCATTCTAGTGGATCTTCCTTGTCTTCATTTTCATTAAATAAAGTAGTATCTCCAGCCTTAACCCAATTGTTCTTATGGAAATATTTAGATTTTATGTATCCATCACCAATGATGATCAGCCAGACATTTTGAAGAACGATGATCAGCAGAATCAGGACAGCATATACAAAGACTTGGCTGAGAAGCCAACTTGTCTGATGAATACTGTGCATTATAGTAAACACTTCGTTTGCATACAGAATTGCATTCATTGTTTGGAAGCTGAAAGTCAAATTAGTGAACCAAGAATTTGAGATGAATATACAATATCCGAAGAACCCAACTCCTATCAACAGAGGGAACATTCCTATCATTGATTTTGTCAGGATTGAAGATGAGTTAATCATAGTATTGTTGATGATGTTATAGCATTTAACATTTTCGTAATTCTTGGGTAAGGATATCCATAATAAGAAGGTTCCAAAGCCGATAATCCATTCCCCAGTCCTGTAAACTCCAATACCTCCAACACTTATCCAAACAGATCCAATTAAGATTAAGAGACTACTAATGATCATGGCAATATTGAAAATATCGAAAAGCCTAATCTTATCAGAGAAAGCTAACTCAGACCAATCTGGTACATCGTCTTCTCCAGTTCCAAGCAAGACATCTGTGATAGAGGTGACACTATCTAGATTCATATTCCTTCTTCTCTGGAGTCCAATATTCTTAGATTTTTGCTCAGGAGATTTGTCAGAGTCCTCACTATCTGAACGGTTGATGCCATCTTTACTCTCTTCACTAAGATCTTCGCTTTCTCGATCTGGGTCCTGACTCTGGAGTCTTCTGAGCTTTCTTTCTCTATTCTCCTTCTTCTGGTAAAACCTCAGCTTCATAAGGTTAAACTTTTGGTAAATATTATGCAACTGATACAGCTGGAAGAAGAAAGATCAGCAAGCCAGAATGATTGATATAATGTTTAGCCAAGTATACCTAGTCATAAAGTTAGAATTAGACGCCTCTTCAAATGCACACGGGAATGATAAGAATTTCATTTTCTGGACGACATGGTTCCTGAAGAAGAAATCAAAGTCTTGATATATCTTCCACCTAAAACAGTCATGAATAAACAGCTCTTCAGTCGGAAGTTTGTGCTCAATTTCATAGATTAATCTGAAATGAGTCGTTTTGTTGAGAAATTGAGCAATAGAGTCCTCGTCTTCTTGCCATATGCCAATGTAATCTTTGGTAAAATTAGTGTTCATGTCCCCAAAGCGTTCTCTTCCATCTCTTCTCAAGTAAAAAGACTCAAATTGGACTGGAAGAACGACTAATTCTCCCGTCTCAGGATCATGGTCAAGAATATGAGTATAATATTGCTGGTTCAAGTTGAAATATGCATGGACAGATTTGTTAATATGTTCTGACAAGTCGCTTAAAGTATAAAAATTATAGACTGGCAGAAACTCAACTTGGTTGTCTTCTAAAACTTCCTCTCCAAAGACCCTTCTCCATACCGTTTCTTGTGACCTGAAGTAAATTGCAATACTACTGATGATCAACATTATCTGAGCAAAAGTAGATAGCAGTAACAAAATATGGAACATAAGAGTCCATGGGAACTTATTAAACTTGATGTATTTTTCAATAGGACCCATAGTAATTTCATCAATCAAAGGTACTGGAGGGGGGAGCTTCGCATTCTCTTTTGTCAAACTGTTCTGCTCACCTCTGTTGTACCTACTATACGAAAGTAAATCTTCTTCTGTGACAGACATTTTAATATTATTAGCTTCAACAATCAAATCTTTCCACGGGGTTTTGGGGTTTTGGGGTTTTGGGGTTTTGGGGTTTTGGGG